AAACAGTTATAGTAAATAAATCTTTATAAAACGAATTTACTCAATAAATATTAATTACTAAATAAACCGAATTTTTAATCCGCTAACATTAACGTTAATAAATTAGAGCCCTTGATTTAGACTTATACCCTTAGAATATGTGAATATAAACGAGGTACTGCCTTCCTTGTATAAAATTTAAATCTTAACTTAGTCCGATTTTTAATTTAGTAAACCAATTATTTTTTCTGCCAAATGAATGAATGATTCAAGATTCGCGGTGCAAATTCTTATTACTCAACTAAGGGAAGAGCACTTTAAGCAGTGCTATACGTTAATATTTAAATGGTTCAGTACTTCAAATGACAAAATAAAACAAAATATCATATTCTCAATGTACATTTACAGTAAACTAACCATTTTTTCGAAATATCAGGTTTAATAATATGGTAGGTATGGATGAATCAACAATTTCTCAATAAAGGGTGTGTGTGTCCTTGTTTCCTTGGAAGTGGGATCGAAAAAATTTGGTTTAACACATTTTCGGTTTAGCGTTAGAATTATTTGTATTAATGAGTTTGTCTTGTACATGTATTACTAATGGTTTCGCAAAAAATATAATTTCTCTTTTCATCGACATTTTCAGTAAATTATATGAAGATTCAAGAATTTTGAAGGATACGTATAAACATTTAACCCCACAACCCCAAAAAATTTTCTCAAGTAGATTGAAAGGAGTTTGAAATAAAGCTATCGAAATTGTTTCTTTATTCTAAAATCACATATTCGGAAATCTTGAAAATAGTCAGTGACATCTTATCAGATAATATCTCAAAGAAACACCATGTACACATACGTATAACATTCAAAGTGGCTGAATTTATTAAAATCTAATTAAAATGCCATTTGGCATCTGATATTAAGCACAGCCTGTTTCATATGTATGAGATGTGCATACTAAATACCATTTTGGCTTAAGGCGCAATCTCTAAAATCTAGTGGAATATGTTTCAGAAAAATATCTACCAAAAATCAAATCTTCGTATTTATATATTTCTTTCATTTATAGTTTTCTTATAAATACACAAGAAGAGAAACTCGCTTACCATTAACAAAGCCAATTTGTTTCATATATAAAATTTCGTAGTAATTACATAGAATCAGGATAAACTTGTATTGAGTTTGAAACTATGAATTCAATTTTGAAACGGTCGTCATCTTTACAAGAGATTACAAATAATAAATCCTATAAATTTAAACGCTAGCTCATTTGATTTCTAATTAGCATACCTATTTCTCAAAGTAAGTGTACAGTGAAAGTCCTTTATAACGGCCGCATTGAAGAGCCTTTTAGGCCGGTATATTGAGATTCTGGTATACATGATCCCTGTAAAAAAATAATCGGACAAAAATTCGGTTTTGTTAGTTTCGGAAAACTACAGGTTAAAATCGAATGAAAATCTGGAAAAAACGGGGGACGCGATATTTCGTGATCCACACTTTCAATCCAGACAAACATATATCATTCGATTCGTCTAGTCTTGACGAATCGAGTGGCGGTATTTTCATTCGGATTGAACCTGTGGATCATGAAATATCGCGTTCAAAAGTTATTGGATCAATTTTTTAAATGTTTTTGATCAAAACTTAGTTTAATTTGGAACACTAAATGATATCTCATGACTTACCAGGCCAAATTCCACCAAAATTCAGCCACTATTCCATTAAATTTCAGTAAATATGTGGTTTTATTTTTATCCAATTTGGTTAAATGAGTCATGAGATATTAATTCATTTTTAAAAAATGGGGAAAATAAGAAAATTTGTCCAGTAACGTTGAGAGATGATATTTCACAATCTATTGATGAGTTTAGATTGTTAATGGTAAACGAATTTCTCATACAGTGGCTCACATAAGAAATTAATAAATATTTTTCAAATTAAATTGAAAAAATCTATTTATTTAAATTTTTATATAAAGTTTTAATTTTTACTGTTTTTGTCAATTTCTTATAGAAAATTTTAAATGATAGATTTGATTTAAATCTCATATCGATATGGGTGATGATCGTGAAATGGATCGATGAATCAGGCAAAAATACAGTTTTTTTTAGTTTCGGAAAACCACAGGTTTAGTTGTAAAATTCTGGATTAAAAACAGGAAAAATAAAAAAATATTCAGTAACTTTGAAACATGATATTTCACAATTCACTGATCCAATCTGAACAAAAAAACACTATTTGATCTGTCAAGACTTGGTGAATCGAATGGTGACATTATTGTGCGGATTGGACTTGTAAATCATGATATTTTATAAATTCAATAAACTTCTTTACTAAGAAGTAAATTTAATCCGTGAATATGATCAAGAAAGGTCTACCGTCAGTGTGTCAACCATACTGGGTATAGCCCAATACTGCGCCACTGGAATTAGTAATTTTACAAGTCCAATATGGTGAAGTGACAAGACTGTTATCGTAATTTACCGTATAAACCACCCACCCCTGTAGGAAATTTAAACTTTAATTTGGTCTAATTTTTTTTTAGTAAAACCAATTATTTTTCTGCAAATAAATGAATTAAGATTCGCAATTCTTAAAAAGTTTAATTACTAATTAATAGCCTTGTGGTTAAATTAAGGTTTAAATTTTCTACCGGGGTGATTATGCGGATTCTTTCATATTCACGGATTAAACTTTGTATTTACTAAGTAAAGAAGTTTATTGAATTTATAAAATACAATCTATTGAGTTTAGATGTTATGCACCATAGTAGTCAAAAACTTGATTCTATGTCATAATTCCGTAGTAATTACATAAACCGTATTTAGCTTGAAACTACGAATTCAATTTTCACAAGAAACGGTTTTCATGCAAGTGAAGATACAAGTTCACTTCAAAATTAGAAAAGGCTTGGCTTTACAAGAAAAGATAAAGAGATTAGAAATAATAAATCTATAATTGTAAACGCTGACTCATGGGATTTGTAATTAGCATGTTTATTTCTCAAAGTAGGTGTGCACTAAATTACGAGACCGTTAAAGTATAATAGAGAAAGCAAAAATAAGCACAGCTTTTATAACACCTTTCGAATCAGATTTCGGGGGAAGTGCTTATTTTCGGGAGTAAATAACTAGGCATGCTTATGTTTTGAAATTTCAATAATTTGGAGTAAAATAAGTCGGTGCTTGTGAATGCTTACTGTAACCTTGGAATAATATTTTCTTTGCCGAATTTACGATGGTACATTATAGTTAACTTATTATAATTATATGCATGTAATATATGCGGCAAAATTAGAAATAAATCAAATATTTCTCTGCACTGGGTAAACATCAAGCAGTCGAAATTCGTTTAATTTAGTACGGGTTATTTTTATCATAAAAAAATTAAAAATAGAATTTTCGAATAGAAGAACCCTTGTTATTTGTGCAAAGCAACAATTTTAGCGGCTTCACCAAATGTACCGTATTTCACCGCATAAAGTACCCTCCCCTGTAGAAAATTTAAGCCTAAATTTATTAATTTAATAACAAAATTTTTTGAAGAATTGCACCGTGAATTTTGTTTTATTCATTTTGCAGACAAAATAACTAGTTTTACTAAAAAAAAAAAATTTGACTAAATTAAGATTTAAATTTTTATGCGGTGAAATAAGGTATTTGAATTACAAGCTCGTTTTAGCCTAATGAAGAAATAAAGATCAAACATGTAACTGTAAATTTTAAAATCTATTTTATGATCACCAAATAAACAAATGTAACACTTATCATTATGCGTCTACATATTCTGGTCTGAGCGCATACACAATTTGGTCTCGTAAATATTTACAAATCTTTTATGATTTTTCGAATTTGGAAATTATTTAAGGTTCATTAGTATTAAATTAGAATGATAAATCAAATAAGAATTAGCATATAATATGACGCAATTAATAATTATTTATCAAAAATTGTATATTAAGAAAAATATATAAAAACAAGTGATGGCATTTTTTCCGATATTTCATTCGTTGTACAATTATGTTACAAAAGATTAACGTGATTTTTATATATTTAATAATAACACACGTATATATCTACCTGTCTCACATAGATTTAAAATGAAACCGTTTTATTTAAAAAAACATGTGTATAAATAAAAAATTTTAGTAAATTTTTTCACAACGAAAATAAGTCAACAAGGGTAATTTATGTATAAATAAAAATTTTAGTATTTTTTTTCACAACGAAAAGAAGTTGTTAACTTTTTGTTAATGCTGTGTAAGTCTTTGACAATAAATAAACAATAAGCATAAGTAGTAGTATAAATTTACTTTATAAGATTACATATAACGATAAAACAAGAATGAAAAACTGTTTTCGTGCTATCTATGGTGCATATACACTAAATATATAGGAATATATAAATTCATTCAATAAAATACGTATATTTTTTTTTATAAAAAATTGTAATATTGAGTAACGATTATACATGATCTAACTAGATTTATAATTAATATATAAGAATCAATATGGAAATCAACATAATTGCGTAACATACGCGTGCATTTATGTACCCCCACCCGATTGGTTAGGATAAAAACAGCCAATAAGAATGCATAAATTTTTGATCAACCCGGCAAAACAAACCGACACAAAAAAGTGAAAAATGCGAGAAATGTGAAAAATACAAGAAACAAATGTCTAAATCTGGTCCGGAGTACTAATAAAAAATGTCGATAAGACAATTTTATATAGAACCCGAATCACCATCCCAACCCTAATCTTAAAACCATTCTTTAACCTTAATCTTTGTTACAATAGAAATTTCCGAAAATATGCAATAGTTATTTTTGTTATTACCAAATCGGTTTAGATGCATTCTATAACATACAACAGATTATCTTTTGCAATTCACGTGTAGCGATAGTGTGTATCAAATCAGAAAAGGAATTTATTATAAAAAAAAGCTACTAAAACTATACGCGATAAAAAGTATTATAATACTATACTATCTCATAACGTTAATACGAAAGCTTATTAAAATTTTGATCGGAACTTCCTGTCGCGCACGCGTTCTCTTCTAAGATATCCGTCATCTTCGTAGTACTCTTGCCTTCTTTCGTATTCATCGTCGTCATATCCTCTTTGCGATTGTCGATAATTGTTACGTTTTGGATTAGGACGAAATGAATCAGAATTATCCTTAATTGAACGAATATGAAAAATAAATATTATTTGTATTAAACGCAGAAAAATAAAGAATCGAAAGTGCCTGTTTACCCTAAAGAAATACGTCATTCGCTTTGGTTCCTCTGTGAAAAGTTTATAAGATTAATGTTAACAATATCAAATTTTTTACAAAATGTTTTAAATATTACCGTTGGTAATTGCTTTAACATCTCCGGACAAATATCCGGCTCTTCCGGATTTCACGTAGTCGAAAAAGTCCAAGCTTTTTTGTGTAATGTGTTATATATTTAGCTGATAAAAAATTCAATAAGAGGTCAGACTCTACTTACATTGCGGTAACTTCAGCTGGATTAAGTGGTGCGGGCTTCGGATAGTTAAAATGACGAGTTTTTCTTTGCTCAAGACCCCTAAACAAATCTTTATTACGCTCTTTGCTACCTTTATCCTTGCCCAACAAATAATCTTCAAGATCTTCTCGCGTAACTTCCGAGAATTTAACTGCATGTGGACTTTTAATAGCTAAATTAATTTCATTGGCAACAATTGGACCACTAACTAATTCGGGGCCTGTTAATGTGTAAATTCTACGTTGGTGTTTATCTTCCAAGCCGGGCCGCAATAGACCATTGTCATCGATCGCGAGGAACGATAGTGCGGAGACCAAATCGTCAAGATCGATCGGTGCCCATCGACTGTCTGCATTTACACTGATAGTAAGCATGGAGTTTTCTTTGATTCGTCTCTCGAAATGGAAAAATCGTTGATTTAAGAACGAGTTTCTATTAATCGATTGTGGGAATTATATAGATAATTAGAATTTCATATGTTGCGTTTATAGAATTTTGTAATTATTTACCTTAAAGTAACCCAATTTCGAGCAGAACTTTCCACCGCTCTTTCAATATCTCTAAAATCAACGAGTGATTGTGCTTTTGAATCACCGGCTCCAAGCATTGAAATAGTGATAATATTTGACACATCAACTTTTTTAGCTGCCTAGAATGATAAATAAATTTTCAAATGAACATTCACAGTGGTTTTAAATATTTATTATTACACTTACATCAGTAAGAGCTCTCGCCAATTTAACACGATCAGGTGCCATTTCGGAAACAAACACTAGCCACCCAACATGACCGAGCGCAGTTTCAAGTGTCTCGCTTCGTCCGTAGTCAATACTAACAATCTCGGCTCCTTTTTTATGCAAATCATCCGTTAAATTATTATGCACACGAGAAATAACGCGAACATTGTACTTTTTATGATCTCCTTGTAGCTCGAGAAGTGACCACGCTAAAACGTAGCCAAACCAGCGATCACCAGCGGACACGGCAATCGTTCCATAATACTCGTCGTCGTCACTTTCTTCTAGTGTTGGTGTTTTGATAAGATTCGGAAGGAATTTCATCGTTTTTTATTATCCAAAAAAGAAACAAAAAACGAAAAAAATGGAGAAAAGATGGTTGTTTGGTTGTAGGCCTTTTATGTATAAATGAAGTTCTATATAAGCTTAATAAAAAGTTAGTCACTTCATTCCCACATGTAAAGTTTAATAAAAAGTTAGTCACTTCATTCCCACATGTAAACTTAATAATCTTTAGATTCGATTTCTTCTCACGAATATGATCTTTCGCGTCGCTTAATCTGGCGTTGAATGGAATCATACATTTGGCGATTCTCACACTTTGTCTCAATGGTTCGCTCAGACATAAAAATGCCGCAATAATTTAATTTATTTAGAAAAATGATGTTTTCGAATTTCTTGTGAATATTTTTTTCCATAATTTTACGCACGCCTAAATTTATGACATATAATAGTGATGATGTCGCTAATGAGGTTGTTTAACAAATAGGCTAAGTGCAATAGAAATGGTGTAAATTATATTATAAATTCTATTTACATCATTTCTATTGCACTCAGCCCAAATCTTTAGCATGGGATTTTTAACGTTAATTCTCGCTTTAGTATAGGTTTTTAACATGTTGCTGCGCCTATTTGGGATGCGCTAAAGCGTTGTGAGTCCGGTGATCTGTCCGAGAAACAAGCCGATAATAATATGTCAATTATACTACTCCATGCACTAGAAATGTGCCAAAAGTTAAGAGTGATTCACAAGTCTTTATCAAATATATTGGAAGGTGGTGGTGGTATATATGCCTTTCCACTGAATATAGAAACCTTGATGCTTCGATGCAATGGATGTGCTATAAAGGATATAAATATAAATGGCTTGCGAATTTTAATGATATAAAGCATGTCAGATCGTGGTGTCTAAATAAACATGAAAACCTGTCGCAAAATCATATCAAGTATCCTTGGCCCACCCTCTAGCATGCCAACCAGATTTCTTGAAAATACCAGAGTATCCTCGAGGACATCTTCCCTCCTCAACATGAACTAGCCATAGAGGTACAAAATGCTTTCGTAAAGATCCAAAAGACTTTGAGAAGCAATTAATACACGATCAGGTTAAGTGAGAAAGAACTATGCGATGAGAATTGTATTTATCTTATCGAAATATGATATTATGAAGACCCGCGTATAATTATTCCGAGGCATCTTAAGAAGTTAGGAATTATATAAATCAGTTATTAACAAATATCACATTTGTCATTTAGTGAGAAGATTAGCATAAAATTCTTATTTTTTTTTAGCGTAAATGACACAAATAAATCATACTAAAATAAAGCACATAAAAATAAACTACAAAGTGCCATCTGCTTCAAGATATTGACGAATTCTGATCAATGCGTCCAGCACTGCACATCTTCCATCCGGTTCTGCAAGATCCAGACCAGGTTCCCCGGCCATCTTTGAATCACAACTAAGTTCTTCCCAATATGCTACAGGAATTACGGCCTTGTAAAATGTAACATATGTAGAAATAACGCGAATGGCAAATATGATCTGTTCTATAATTTTGTCACGTATATGTTCATTTCCACAAGTGAGTATCTCAGCAGCAAGTTGTGTTTCCCCGAAAGCAGTCTGCGTAAATGTTTTGCAGATGCTTATCCTAGTAGAAAAAGGTTTTTTGAGTTGATAAACATATTGGTTCGTCAAGTATAACCACAACGTGAATTTTTCTCTTATCAATTACAAATTCAAATATTGCTATCATAGGAACTTCACCAATTAATAGTTTGCAGGACGGTTCGGTTCTAGGTTTTGATATAATGCAAAGTTTAAGAAACCATTGGAGTGCATCACATACAAAAGACCTTTCTCATAATCAAAGTTGACAACAGTTTGGTTACCAATGTGTCAATCATAGCCTCGCTTGTACCTATCTCGACCCCGCGTTCTTGACTATATCATGCAGTTTGTCGATGAACGTTTTGACAGTTCTATCCGAAATTATGTCAAGTTTGTCAATATTGAGCTCTGGATCGGCAAGCAATTTTTTTATGGATCTCACGAAGAATGTCCTAAAACAAGTAGTACAGAAACACGATTACACGGTAGGGAGGCACGGTCCCGAAGCCATTAACGTGCAACCCTCGTGCTACTGATACTAGCACTACAATTGTTTTGCTATCTACCCACGCATTAATTTTATCTAAAATACCGTCACCGCCTTAGTATTCCAAATAAAGAGTATTAATTTCATTAGCTATAATATGTTCAAACTCCTTTCCCCTCCATAACTATCAAAACATCGAGAAAAACGCAACCAGGTAGTCAAAGTGTAACCCAAGTATATTCTGATTCCAGAGGAATCTTTTCGGTTCTAGTCTACCAAACACCATTCACAAAGTGAAATTAGTCAGCTGTGATTAAATACCAATGAAAATTACGCTTTTGTTTCTTACCACCAGAAGAACCCGCAGACGAATAACTCGTAGAATTAGTAGAATTAGGAAAACCGATGAAATGAGTTGATCCTTGTGTGATCGTTGCTGATGGCAACACAGATGGACCTGCAGTAGTGGAACCTGTTTCGGCTCGTTGGTTATTTTCTTCACGAAGTGCTCATTGATAGATTTGATCGCAATGGTTTGCTCGAAATTATCTAGTCTAAAAATTTCATACACATGATTGAACTATGATTGGTGAATAAAATTATCAGCCACATATTATTAGGGAAACTTGTCTATCCCTGTACATTTAAGTAAATCCAATCTGATATACCATAATGTGATGGAGGAAAATGTAACTATGCTGAAGCTTCTCGTGCCGGCGACGAGAGCTTCCCTTGTATCTTCGGATACTTGAGAGAAGCCACGCTTCATGTCGGCCATTCTGCGGCGGTGAAGTTATGAGTTACTTGGTAGCTAGCAACTGTTCGCGTCGGCCAATTCTGCGGCGAGAGCTTCCCTTGTATCTTCGGATACTTGAGAACAACCATGCTTCATGTCGGCTAGTTCTGCAGCGGTGAAGTTATGAATCAATGGATATCCAAGTTATCTCTTGGTAGTTGTCAGCCTTTCATCAACAGAAGAGTATGCGAAGGAAAAAATTCTCGATCATACATAGTTCATTTACGATGTACACACACATGATTAAATTTTAGAAGCCCGATATGAGCGAAACTTTATGAAGAAAAAAAGGGCCAGCTAAGCAATAATATATATAATATAAGCGAAATAAATGAAATATGTGACATGCTTTCAAGGGAGGGAGTACGCGGATCCTAGGCCGTATAATGCGAGTCCCTGCGTCACATTATTTCGCTAATATTTATGCTAAGTTTGTGTGGTTGAGCTCATCCCGCCCATTATCTAGTGAGAATTGAAGGATGCGCTTCACGCGACCTTTTTTTGCAGAACCAAAATGAGACGGAGACAGAAATTCTGACCAGGTAAACCTCGTTCAATAAACTTACCATATGTTTTACCTACTACTAACTCAGTGAATTCTTTGAGTTCGTGATGATCAATAAGGAGGACCGGTGCATATAGGATATGGTATGGTGCATAAAATCTAAAGTCATCAAACGTTTGTATTTTATAAAATGTATAAACTTCTTTACTAATAAGTAAATAC